CTGCCGGGTGCTCTGAGCCCAAGCCCGCTGGAGTGAGGAAAACCGGGTCCCTCTATGGCTCCTCACCCGAAACACGAACTCACAGGCTAATTTCCCAGTTTTTAGTTCCTTGCCTTCCCTCTTGAGTCCCAGCCCGCCAGGGGCGCGGACGCCCGGTGTCTGCGCGGCTCTTTCAGGGGCCCCAGCCGCCCGGGAGCTACAATGGCGGCAGGCGCGCCACCACTCTGAAGTCTAGCCTCCAGGAGCAGCACAAAGAAGCAGTTTGTTTGCTCAGCCCCCTCCAGGACCAGTTGGCGCGAGGGGACCTGGTGTGCAGGTATTTGGCAAGTACGGTCTTTCTATGCAGCGAGGGGAGGTTTTTCTGTTTCGGACTCTCTCCTTTTCCCCTCTCACTCCCCGTAGAGGGTAGAGGGGGATCGCCTCCCACCCTGGAGACTCCGATCCCGGCCCGATTTTATCTTCCCCGGTTCGCACTCACGTTAGAAGGCTCTCTCACTGGGTTCTGCGTCTTTTTTCTCCCAATCTCTCAGGTTTTGTAAGGTTTCCAATGGCTTCAGATCTTTTCTGTGTGATGTATGGGCGCGAGTGCAAGTACGGAGCTCCTTCCTTCTCCGCCATCTTGCCCTCCCTCCTACATTATCAGATTTCAAGCCTACTATAAATATAAAGAAGAATATGTGGTACCAGCATAAGAATAAAGAATAGATCAATGAAACAGAGTTTCCAGAAAGAGAGCCGCACTTACACAGCTTGCCTGGTTTTCTACAACGAAATCTAATGAAGGAAAGGGCTTTCGAAACAGACTTTGTGAGCAATTGGATGTGCGTTCAGAAAATTATGAAATAGTTTTCATTGTAAATTAAAATACACTACAGAATTTGTAGGACGCAACTAAATGAGCACGTATAGGGAAAAAGTAACACAGTAAAGGTTATATTAGAAAAAAAAAAAATGAACTCACCGAATCAGTGATCTAAGCTTCCATCTGAACGCCCTCCTGCAAGCCCGGTGTGCCACCTGCTGCCAAGAAGTTGAGGGCGGCCCTCCCGCCAGGGCAGAGGGCAGCCTTCAAGGGGCCCAGGGGTGGCGGTGGTGCAGCCAGCACCTGCCCAGGTGGCCAGGGCGGCGCGGGGCTCGGGGACCGCCTGGCCCATCACCTGCGGCAGGCGCGCTAAGGCCGTGGGCGCCCAGCCTCTCCGTTCGGAGCGCGACAACAAAGCCACACCCACTTAACGTGCCTGTGATGCCAAATACAGGCAAGTGCGTTCACCTGCGACCCTGGGAGCCTCCCTTCTCCCCGGTTCTCACCTTCTCACCGGGAGAGGCAGGCGCATCTGGTGGGGGGCGCGTCCGGCTCGCCACAGGCGCGGGCGTCTCCACCGCGAGCGCTCCATCCTTCCCGCCGAGGGGGAAGTCCACGCACAGGCCGTCTCGGGCTGAAGCGTCAAGTTCGGCGGCGTCAACAACGCCCTCCTCCCGAGGCTGCCTCCCTGAAGCCGACCCCGAAGGTGTTCCGAGGGGGGCCGAGTGGGAGGAGCCTGGGATGGCCGCGCGGGCGTCGGCGGCCGGAAGTCACGTGGCAGTCACGTGCTCCGCAGGCCCTCCTCCAACATCGCGAGACTAGCTGCGCGAGGCCTCAGCCCGGCTGCAGGGCTCACAGGCGCACGCGCTGGACCTGACCGTCATTCTGGAAGGATCTGGAACAGGCAGGCTGCTTCTCCCTGGAGGCCCGGCCTTCAGGAAATGCACGGGCTGCCGCCCGAGGTCGCCGGGAACTCCAGGTGAGCCTGAGCGGCGCGGGGGCCCTTTCTGAGCCCACCTGCAAGCGTTTTGCTTGAGGAACGAGTAACTCACTCAACGGAAGCTTTCGGTTGTCCCAGACAAATAGCTGGTGAAAATATAATGATTTCCTTTTTCTAATAGAAACGACAATCACTTTCAGAAACTGTTTCAAAGGCAACACTGTTCATCATGGGTATATTTAGCTCATGTACCCTATTATTAATAGAAGAAATTATAACCTGTTAAAGCAGAATTCTGAAAAGTTGATTCTTTTTTCGTACATATTTTCTTTTCTTTTTTTTCTCTAAAATTTATTTCTGAGAGAGAGAGAGAGAGACAGCGTGAGCAGGGGTCAGAGAGAGAGGGAGTCACAGAATCTGAAGCAGTTCCAGGCTCTGAGCTGTCAGCACAGAGCCTGACGCGGGGCTCGAACCCACAAACCGTGAGATCACGACCTGAGCTGAAGTCGGACACTTAACCGACTGAGTCACCCAGGTGCCCCTTCGTACATATTTTCTACAAGCTGTATAGACGTTTGTACTGGTTTGGTACTAGAAAAATATGTAATGTCCTTTTGCTAGAATATTTTTTTCCAAACGGAATGCTGAAGGGTTTTGCCTATGAGTTAATATGGAACATCGCAAGTACTTTTCCACAATAATAATTTTGTCTTTGATATGTAAAGTCTGTAATTTCGCTTTAGAGTTTGACTATTTCCATCTTTAATAGTTGGAGATTTCATTTGGAGCTGGGATTTATTTCATAGTTTGGAAATTTTATTTTCTTTTTCTGAGTAAATTTCTGTTTATAACTCTTTTTCCCTGACTACTCAAGTCCTAACAAATATGGTAAATGATGAACGTGGTAAATTATCACAAGCCAATAAGAAGACTAATTTTTATTCACAACCTAATCAGCTCTCTTATCAAATTATCAATCTATATTTTTTTTTCTTAAATTTTTTTTAAGGTTTTTTTTTTAATTTATTTCTAGAGAGAGAGAGAGAGCGTGAGCAGGGGAGGGTCAGAGAGAGAGGGAGACACAGACTCTGAAATAGGCTCCAGGCTCTGAGCTGGCAGTCAGCACAGAGCCCAACGCGGGGCTCGAACCCACGAACCGCGAGATCATGACCTAAGCGAAAGTCGGATGCTTAACCGACTAAGCCACCCAGGCGCCCCACAATCTATATTTTTTATAAGGTGTTATTCTAGGCACTTTACACTTGTTACCTGTTATTTTCAAACAGTTGTTACAATTCACTCATCCTAACTTAAAATTTAGAAACCAGGGCTCAGTGGACTTATTATTATTATTTTTTTGAAAGAGAGGGAGACAGAGTGCAAGAGTGCAAGTGCAGGCAGGGGAGAGGGGCAGAAAGAGAAAGAGACCCAGAATCGGAAGGAGGCTCCAGGCTCTGAGCTGTCAGCACAGAGCCCAACACGGGGCTTGAACTCACTAACCCTGAGATCATGACCTGAGCAGAAGTTGGACACTCAACTGAGGAGCCGACGGAGCCACCCAGGCACCCCTCAGGAGACTTAAACAAACAACTCAGTTTCTAACAGTTAAGTAGTCTTTGAATTGGGATTCAACCCAGTTCTGTCTGTACCTGAAGTACGTTGAAGGAATGGCTCTGAAAAAGCCAGGAAAGCAGCTACAGTCAGCCTCCCAAGACAAGCCTGAATTGAATTTACCCACCTGAGTACAGGTGGAGAAGCTGTAGGCATAGTTGACCTGTTCTCTGAGAGGATCCCATTAAGGGAAAGAGATGTTTCTCTGGAAAAGTTATGGAAGTTTCCTCGATCTGGGACCAACTTTATAAGTGGAAGTAGGAATATGAGAAAAGCATAATAGTGGTTCCCCATAGCGTTTCCAAATTACTCTCAAAAACCCTCTTAATTTGGACAATCTCTGTCACATAAAATAGAGAAATCATGCTTTAAGGCACTATTCATTTTAGGATTCAGGAAGGGTTCAATATTCCTGAATAATTAACCCATTTCTTTACTTAAAATTTGATGAGTAGACAGTTTCGTAAAGAGGGCAATTACAAGTGGTGTTCTGTGTTGGCACTCCTTAAATGGATGTATGGATGTGTGTAGTAACAAAGGAAAATTATCCAATGTCTTTACTCTTCCAAAGAGCAAAATATCTTATTAAGCTGCTTCCTGATATAATTTCGTAACTTCAGGGAATCCAGTTAAATTCTCAGACCCTTAGGGATCATTTAAAGCAATGTAATAATACATATATATATATATTTATATATAGTTATCAAATGTTTTTTTTCCTATGAGTAAAATGTATATTTGGTGTAATCTAAGAGGAGTATTTCCTTTTTCAGCTCCTGTAAGGATAAACATTCTGGGAGCGAGAGTTATCTTCCTGGGTCCATAACGTTTTCACTTTCAGGGATAGACAAGGGTAATAGTTGCTGCCTCTAGGAATGCCAAGGAGAATGCTGGCATCTTGATAACTCTCCTAGGGTTTTGGGGGAGACCAGGTCAGCTGTTCTGTACATTCTGACTGTTGAAGGTATTAGTAGACAAAGGTAGAGTTCATTTACATAATTGTTTAAAAAAAAGAGTTAAATGAAATCACTAACTTGGTGATGGCAATAATATAATCCAGGTTGTGAAATAAGGTAGAAGACGCAGAAACAAGATAAAATTAAGAAGATACCTGGAATTGAAAGTAGGCGAAAATGAGAACAAAGAAATAGGCATAGGAAGAAAGAATTTGAATGTGAAGAAAATGTTATTTGACTATAATGAAGAAAGGATTGAGTATGGAATAAAAGGAAAAGTTATAAAATCCTATGAACAAGAAAGAAAAATGCATGTGGAAACAGTATTTCTAAATAGACATGGAAAAATAATTTCTTAATGAGAGAGAAATGCCAATTTTGAGCTATAGTTCCCTGCGTTAGAATAGAGTATAAATTACGACATATTCTCTAATTCCAGAGTTAAGTGACATTACAGATATGAGCCTGTGGGTCATTAGGACATGTGTTTGCTACCCAAGCTGGTTTTCTTCCATTTCTCTCTTTTTCACTCCTCTGCTAGTTTCTTTTCCCAGAAAACAAACCACGTACATACACACACATGCACACACAAACTGAGTGGCGTTTACTATGATTCTTAAAGGTAAACCTGTAGGAGCCCAACAGTGACCACAAGAAAGAACGGTTGGGCGGAGCATGCCTGCATACAGGATGTTCTGCCAGGGGGGCTGCACACAATATCCAAGGTTAACGGTCCGCTCGCAAACGAGGGAACGTGCCTTCCTTGAAAATAGGGAGGAGGCTGGAGTTCTGGGCAGGCTTCTTAGTAGATATGCTGTGGTCACTGTTTCCCTTTGCTCCCCCCATCCTTGGAATGTGTTTGGCTAGAAGAATGTGTTTCTTAGATTTTGGTATGTGTCCAGCTACCGGGGTATAGAATTAAACCTCAGGAAGGCTCGGGGAGATTTTTCTCCATCTGGCCGGAGTTGTGTCTCTCTGTCTTTGTGTGTCTTATCTTTTTGTCATTTCGTTCGCTACATAAACCACTCCTTGGAGTTTCTTCATTATTGAGGATAATCAGTATTGAGAAAGACAGTAAAGTATTTTCCTAATTTGGAGGCTGAAAGTGGAAAAGCCAAAACAGAGTGGATATCTGCACAAATAATTTAAAAGCTTGACCTTGATAACACAAGCCATTGTGAGGTCTTCCAATATATTTTCGTGTTTCGGATTCTTTATAGTGTTTTATAACACTTGGGTATCAAGAAGGTAGAAATGCTGGGAATCCTTTGTTCTTTTTAATTCTAATTATAAATGTAAGTAATTAGGCAACCTGATTCCTACGTCAGCATCTTATTCTTTTGTTTACTGTGAGTTCTCCTACTGTCTTGGAAATCTCAGGAGTACCAAGGAGATCCAGTTTCTGAACCAAAAGCTAAAATCTTCTGCAGCCTCGCCTTGCCTGTGCTACCAGCTGGCCCAGCTGATGCCTTCTCTGGCTTCTTACTCTGGCGACAGCAATAATCTCTCTGCTCACGCCTTTCAGACATCTGCGCCGATGTGTGCACACAAACCTGTAGTTTAGAACACTTTCGCTTCCGTTGTCTTTACCTTTGACCTTCACATCATTCTTATGATGGGGACACCAGTGGTACCAGTCCCTAACATGGTTATTCTCCTTTTTGGAAATGAATGTGACAAGAAGGTGCCTGGGGAAGAAATGAGGCACTGAAATAAAGACAGCAGACATTTATTGAACACTCAGGAACACATACTTCGTGTAGTGTTTCTAATTAACATAAAAGCCTCGCAAAGTGATTGTCATCTCTACCTAAACACTTGCAGCTAGAATGAAAGAAAATGTTAGATTCAGTTGGGACATGTATCTAGTGACAAAAAGATTTGTTTCAAATATGTTTTCAATAAATTTTCTATCGTGGTATCATTGTTACCTGGTTTATTCTGGCCGTCTGTACGGTATCTCCACATCATGAATTTATAACCTTTTCTTTGTATTTAAACAAAGCAATTAACAGCCATGCCGAGAAAGATTTGATAACTGAAAATTCACAAAATTATCTTGGAGAAACTAAATATATTAAGTTTGAAAATCATGATGTGATGATTTCAAGTTTTTATGTAAGGCTTTGAGAAGTTCCATGGAACACCAATAATTTTAATAACTTTGTTTTGCTGAAAATTTAAAATCTGAGTTGAATATTTTGCCCGTTATCTAATCTTTTTAAAACTTTTAAACAGTTTTATTGAGATATAATTGGCAAATAAAATTGTAAGGTATTCAGTGTGATAATTTGATATGTGAATACATCATAAAAAGTTCCCCTGTGAATTAACTATCACATTCATCACTTTTCATACTTACTTGTGTGAGAGCATGTAAGTTCTACCTTTTTAGAGTTAGCATTTCTACTCTCTCATCAGTTATATATTGTTATTAATTATAATCATCATCTTATACTTTCAGTCCTCAGA